CGTCTTTTCAACGTTGGGCGTAGACGTCTTTTAAACGTCTATTCAACGGAAAAATGCTCACTGGGCGGTGCTTTTTCGTTAGTCACTTTTGTGCTGAGCCATAGTGCTCCACATCCAGTCAATGGGCTGGTTAGGACGCGTGTGACATTGAAGGCTTAAAGCTCGCGTTGGACACTGTCGACCACTTGTCAAGAGCGAAATTAATTTGTCAGAAACCAAGGAACCGACAGTCGATCAGCAACACACCAAAGGTAATTGTCTATCCGTTGTTTTTTATTGTAACGTTTTGGATTAGTTGGTTTCGTTTTCACGGAGGTGGAGCTTATCGTCTCTGTTGCCCCTGCTGTGAGTGCTGATTAATAATCTACGTCGGGGTGTTCATATTCTGTAAAATATATCTTAATTGTGTTTAAGGTTAGGCTAATTACTTCATGTAAGGTTACGCATACACTGCCAGGTTGTAATTGTAACGTTTTGCTCTCGATCACTGAGTCGTTTTGCCCGCTTTTTCTTTCAGGAAGATGAATCCAAAGGACGACAAGAGCAGCGGATCGTGCGGCAGGTGAAAAGTTACACTCTGTTAACCCCTAGTTCAAGCGATTGTTCAGAAATGTATAGGCCTGCATGTTGACCGAGCTCATGTAGGCTCAGATTATGCTGTAAATGTGTGAGACAGGTATGTTTCTGACAGTTATATATTTTAATTATCGTACTTATGCGGTTTAGCGACGAAGCATATAGCAACTGTTGGTCCTGTAAAAGTTAATCAATTACATAGGCATTTTAAATGGCAGTAATCCATTTACAAGATACGTTGATTACAAATAGTTGAATTTAAAATCGAAAAGGCAGATAGTGACACTTCTCCTTAAAGGGTCATTTCACCTGAATTTTCTCACTTAACCTTTTTACATTTTCTCACTCTGATTTATGTAGAGGATATCTACACTCGGTTGCTTGGGTTCACCTATAGCTAAAACTAGAAATGTATAATTAATTTATAAATTAGTATGAACTAATTAATTAATTAATTAGGTTAGAATCATTTCTATGAGGGTGAAGTAAATAACAAAAATATTTTAACGACTGAATGACGTGAATTGAAATTCCGTCTGATTATCAGGCTACAACTAAACCTTTAAAATCTGTTATGCCCCCTTAGCCCTGTTTTTGTGCACAACCCACATCTGGAAGAAATGAAAGAAGACATCCTCTACCACTTTGGTTTTGGAACCGGAACTCACAACCTACCAGCTATGTTTGGTGATGTCAAAGTAATCATTTTTATGACATATACAAATCTATATTTAAATAATATACACATTATATAATACTATAAAAACAATGTTAAACATATATATATATATATATATATATTTCTTGTGTGTGTTTTCTTTCAGTTTGTGTGCGTTGGGGGCAGTTCTTGGAGAATGAAATCCTTCATTGAGTACATTGCTGCTGAGCTCAGTATGGAAGACCCCAAATCAGAGTACCCAAACATCTGTGCTGGAACGGACCGCTATGCTATGTACAAAGTTGGCCCTGTACTGTCTGTCAGTGTATGTAAGATTATGACATACAAGTAGTATTAATTGTAATAATCTCTGTGCCTAGTGTACTTCTATTTAAAAACGACATGGGTGTTAATAGTGTGTGACTCGTCTGTGCTTTATTTTGCAGCATGGGATGGGAATCCCATCTATCGCCATAATGTTGCATGAGCTAATAAAGCTCCTCCATCACGCTCATTGCACAGATGTTACAATTGTTCGCCTTGGAACGTCAGGTGGATTAGGTAAGTGTATTGTTTCAAAATATTATATTTTTTCCCCTGAATGACTGATAATACATCTGATTATTCATGTGTTGGGTTAGCAAGGGTGCTAGTTTCCTTGTGTTTCTAACAAACAAACTTCTGTAAGAGGAAATGACTTAACTTTACTTAACTGTGTAGTCAGATGTCCTTGCCATGAGATTGGTTGGTGTGGTCACACAGTAAATGATATTTGAGTACTTGCTATTGTCCCCTGTTCTTAGTTTTACCACAAGAGAGAGCCCAAAGTCCATTAGCAGTGTCATCCAATATGACTTTGTGTATTGTTGCTATTTGCCCGTGATGGTATTTTTCCAGTTTTAAGAATAAGATTGTGTGAGAGCGAGTGGCTGGTATTGTTTTCACTTTGTTAATCTATGTAAATGCATCGTCATGCAAAATGTGGTCCTGGAGACACCTAGCGGGAACTACCTCAGGAGGGGTTTTGAGTACAGGTGTGTAGTTGAGATCAAAACGAAGGCAGAGTTTGATGATGGGTGTGGTCGGAGCAAAGTCACCGGAAGGAAGTCGGGTGGTAGAATGTGAGGAAGGGGCCGTTCTAGCAGTTATGACTTTGTAATAGACTGTACCATTGAATTACAAGTTGAACTTAAGACATATGTTAACTGAAATCCTTTAAAATAGGAGGTTTAAGAATGTCTTTGGATGGTTTTCATTTGAAAATGAACATGGTACTTATTTTACTTAATATAGGCTGTATGAGTCCAGTATGTTGTTTGAACATATATGAAAAATACTTCTTAATTTAAACTTTCTCGACTACAATTTGTTTATCTCACTTGTCATTTTTGGTGTTCAGGGCTCGAGCCTGGCACAGTTGTTGTCACCAAGCAGCCTATGGATGCCAACTTCCTGCCCAAGTTTGAGCAGGTGATCCTGGGGAAGACGGTGGTGCGCAACACTGATCTCGACCAAAGCCTGGCTGCGGAGCTGTTGCAGTGCAGCAAGGAGCTGAACCAGTTTCAGACAGTGATAGGCAACACCATGTGTACACTGGATTTCTATGAAGGTATGACTTCTGATGCATTGGTGTGTGAATCACATTTTATACAGTATTTCAGTAAATGTTCAGCTTTTGCTATGTTTTCTGTCTGTCTGGTCAACTACCCAGGCCAAGCCCGTTTGGATGGTGCCTTCTGCTCCTACACCGAAAAAGATAAACAGGATTACCTCAAAAAAGCCAGGGAAGCAGGAGTCTGCAATATTGAAATGGAGTCAACCGTTTTTGCTGCTATGTGCAAGCCGAGTGGTCTGCGAGGTAAGAAAATCCAATATCAGCATGATATGAGGACTTTGTGTCTAAAAACACAGAGTTGTCTTCACACCTCTTTGAGTGTCTTAACGTTTCTGTCTTGTTGTGTAAAGCTGCTGTGGTGTGCGTGACACTACTGGATCGGCTGAACGGGGATCAGCTGGACGTCTCTCATGAAGTTCTTCACAGTTACCAAGAACGTCCCCAGATACTGGTTGGCTACTATATTAAGAAGCAGTTGAAGAAAAACAGCAGTTCATAGCTAACTGCAACAGCTATTACATTGTTGTGCAAGCATACATCAAATGTTTTCCTACTGATCAATAGCCATACATTTTAAGAGTCACTGAATTTTTTAATTATGTACTGACTTGTATTTCTTCTTTGGCACTCTCTTAATTCATTTCTATATCGTATCGGCTTTGCCCTCTAAGAGCTGTCACTATTGGGTTTATCCCTGCATGCATGCACAGGAGTCTGCTGGCTCCCTCTGCTGGCTCAGCTCCCTCCTACCAGTTGGGAGCGCTGGAGGCTGATGATGATGCAGGTTTTTCTCCATCCCCATCGTGGCCAGGAGCCCCGATGTAGCTCCACACCATCGTGGTGTCCAGCCACCCCACAAACAATAGCATCAGTGGCAATGGCAGGATACGGGGAACATGTGTCTCATTCCAGCTGAGCAACAGAAAGCCAATCGCCCTTTTTAGGGTCACCCACTTTTCTACTCAAGAGCAGTTTCCTGTTAGTCTGCTTATGCTCCCACTGAGCAGTTTTCAGCTTCACAATACACATTCCCTTCACAAAACAGAAGCTTGACACTGCACATGCAGCAGCAGGCACAGCCTAGTCACTTACAAGTAACGGTCCTATTTTAAAATGTGCATTACTGACCTTAAAGAATTATCAACCACCTCCCACCCACCTCGCCCCGCAGGGATAAACCCAATAACAGCATCTCTTTGACAGCTACACCTATGCTCATAATTTAGAGTTATAAGGCACCATTTCTCTGTTTTTAATCATCAAATATGTCTTTTTTTAATGCTGCATTTTTTATACAATATGTAAAGCTTTTTATCCATAACACCTGAATCACTTCAGGACTTTTGGCAAGTCTGCTTACAATGGTATTGTAACAAAATGACCTCAAACTGTCATTAAAGAAGTGTTTCACGAAAAAAAAAACTGACACTGATAAATTTGTGCCCTTATGATGGTATTGGTTGTGGTATCATCCAAAGTGTTTTTATGCAGAATGTATGTTGCAATGTACGATTAGGCTAGTGTAATGTTTCTAGACCTTTCCTTCAGAACCTAAAAACTGCAGCAAATGTCAATCCATTTTTGAGAAGAATGTCCACTGAGTGTCTTAACACTCATAAATGCTCATGCAGTTTTATACTCTGACTCATTATGAGTAGCACAGGTTTGCAACATCCTACAGCTTTTTCTCGGTGGAAGAAGCACCATGTGTAAAGCAGGAGGTTTGCTGCAGTATGACCAACATCCTGACCACTGACTTTTTGACTAATGAAGTTCCTGAAGACGATCTCTATTGATTTCTATAAATTTGGCTGACACAGATATCATTCCTTCTCCTAAACTTACACACACTCAAGAACATTTGCCTCCTGTCTTCAGATCACACTGCTTATGTGTAGTTTTAATGACAATGAACAGGATTGCTGTCATGGTATTTAACTGGTGTCACTGGGTTCAACCTGAATTCCTGCAAATATCTATCTGAGATACACAAGTTTTTTTGGGATGATATTTGTTAAATAACTGACTCAGGCCAACACTGACGTGAGATAACGTCAATGTTTGAATTGGACGGTCTGACTAATAGCATTTCTATTATTTGTGACAAATAGTCACAATTCACAGCAGACAGTAAAGTAGTCCGTCATGTGTATTCTTAGAATGACATAGCACATTGATGCTGCGGACTTATTTTCTCATAAATGTGGATCCAATGAAACACAAGTCGCAAGTATCCGGTCTGAAGAACACATTTATGACTTCCTGTGTCTGCGCTTTAATCGCCAGCTTTAAGTAGACTATATGGTCACATATTGCATGCTGAAAACCGCTCTGCGCGTCAGAGGACTATAGAGGAGGGTCTGCCTGCGCGCTCCCGTGCGTGCCCACCTCCTGTTCGCCATCCGATCCTACCCCGGTCTATTCGCTGACTCAGTGCCTTAAGCAGCATCGCCGTTCACCTGAACAGAGCTACAGCATCCTCTGCGGAGAAATACATCAGCCATGGCCAAAACAGCAACCGGTAAGCGTGTTCAGAATGGTCATGATAAAACCATTGCATGGATGGATGGATGGATTTGAGACAGATCCTTTCTGTATAGAGCCCATGTCGGCCCGGTATTGTCTAGCTGGTCGTGTTTCTGTAAAAGCTTCACTCAGAAATGTTATGAATTTCATTCTCTTTTGAATGATTACAGCTATAAATTGAATCCCCATGATATTTCTCTATCGACTGTGAGCCCATTGTCTCAGCTAAAGAGTCTGTTCATGACAGCGACAATGTGGGCTTAAAAGCCCAGCATCCTCCGTCAGGTTACTGAAATGTCTCCTTCATTATCCTCATCTACGTCAATGTATTGCTCCTCATTTGCTTTGATGGCGTGTTGTGTAACGGTTCTTAATTCGATAACACGGATTGGCCCATGACAGCTTTATTTACTACGCCGCACCTGCGGTTCATGCTTACAGCGGCCCCAACATGCAGCATAATGCAGACGGACCCCACCCAAGATGCTGTGCTGCCGACCATTTAGCCGACAGCAGATCTGAGAGGGCTTCATTCGTCTGACGTTCATATTACTTTGCTCTAATGCTGTGGTTATGTTTTTTAAACGTGTTTATGTACCTAAAACGTCTCCTGAACGCGATTGTTTTATCCGATCATTTATTTGGGATTGCTCCTTTAATTCGTGTCTATAACTTTCCTTATTTCTTTCTTGCTAATGAGGCACCACCCGCTGTGCTCGATATGCTGCTAATTATTTTGCAAAAAAAAAAAAAATACGCTATCGGCCTTTACACAAATGCAAATTAGGCGTAGGAGCTAGCACACTGAATCTTATATTAACAGATAAGACCATAGTCTGCATTAGTCATCTCCCCTCATGGACAGTTATTGTTGTAGGCCATGCATTTTAGCATATTTGTTTTCATGGGTTTGTTTAGCCTCTGTACGCATAGCGGTGCCTTAATATAAGTAACCCATTTGGTCCCTGTAAAATACAGCAGGGTGTGCAGGCTGCCTTCAATATGGTATGTATGGTGGCAGAGATGTAGCGGAGGAGACAGGTGTATGGCAGGGTGGGAGGCAGGCCAGCCCTGCAGCAAGGGGCCGCTTCACACACTGGCCTTTGCAGCAGAAGGCTTAGCAGCACTGACAATCTGCAGTCCTCTCTCAACAGCCACGTGGGCACTTTGACAAATACAGGAGAGGGCAATAGTCAGTGAGGAATCGGTGAAAGCACATCTTACCCCAGATCTAGTGTAAAAGCCAAGATCATTTATCAGCTGCATTTGACGGCTATGACGACAACACTCATCAATAAGGTAGGTTTATCTATAAGACAGATAGACGTGCTTCTTGGTATTGTGCGCATGACGGCAGGATTTGCTGAGACAACAGGAAATTGAAAATCTTGCACTGTCCTGTCTATTCTCTGACCTTAGACAGATTACAAGGGGATGTTAGAAAAGGCACTCTTGATTCAAATGAGTCACTAATGTCTTAAGATCCAAGAAAAGAATCGTAGTGATTCATCCAATTGATTGTCAAACAACAGGGCACTTATATACATTTCAGATGCATCGTCATGAGATGCTAATTGATTTCCCCTTTCTAATGTGTCATATCTTAATTTGGAAATATCTCAAGTATATTTATGAATTTGTGACATTGTTTGGACAGTGTTCTGTGGTTTTGTTTTCATGAGTAACATGGAGAGACTCACTAGGATGCTATGCTTATGTTCCCACAGCATATAAAGAGAAGATGAAGGAGCTGTCCGTCTTCTCCCTCATCTGCTCCTGCTTCTACCCAGAGGCACGCAACAAGCTTGTGCGTGAGTTTGAAGGTATGGATCAGCTCAAACATTGATTTTCATTTGAAACCAACAAATTGCCCCCCATGGATGTTTTAGTTTGCCTTGTAAATACAGACGGTAGTAATAGTGACATGTTGTTGGACTGCTATATATTGTGTTATTGGACATTGATTTTGCTGGTATCATCATCATAATTGTCTGATTTACAGACATGGAGGTGAAAACTATAAACAAGCGAGCTTCTGGCCAGGCCTTTGAGGTGATCCTCAAGCCTCTGTCTCCAGTGTCAGATGTGGCTCACAACCTCCCCTCACCCCCAAAGAGGGATATCTCCTTGGAGGACATTGAGAAGAAACTTGAGGCTGCTGAAGACCGGAGGAAGGTGTGTATTTTACCTGTGGCTTTGTGTGTTAAAAATCGAAAGTTGGATTGTATTTTAAACTATTCAAAATTAATCAGATGCTCTAATATTTTTTTTGTTGTGCTGTGTGGTTTTAGTATCAGGAGGCCCAGGTGCTGAGGGCTTTGGCAGAAAAACGAGACCATGAGAGGGACGTGTTGCTAAAGGCCATGGAAGAGAACAGCAACTTCAGCAAGATGGCCGAGGAGAAGCTCCAGATGAAGATGGAGCAGATCAAGGAGAACCGTGACGCCCATCTGGCAGCCATAATGGAGCGTCTACAGGAGAGGGTAAGAAATGCAGAGTTCTCAGTTTGTGTTTTCTATTTGAATCCACCTTTTGACCGGGTATAACCATGTTTGGGCGGCACCTGATGATTACTATTCTCTCTCTCTCTCTCTCTCTGTCTCTGTTTCTGTGTGTGTGTGTGTGTTGTTCTTTTGTTTTCAGGAGAGACATGCAGCTGTGGTGCGCAAGAACAAAGAGATGAGGGAAGAGCTGACAGCATGAGCCTCGCACAAATCCTGACTTCCATGGTCCATCAACGTCCCCCCTTCCTCGCCCCACCCTGACCCTCCTCAGACACCCAACAGACACCCAACCCTGAAGGCAGAGAGGTTCAAGGACCTCACCACCACATCACAACACACCACACCCCTAGTACTCACCACTATCAATATTATCAGTGGATACAAACATCATTACCACTCATCTTGAGAGTTGAATTCATTTCTTGTTTTTAGAGCAAATGTGAGAATATGGCTATTATTTTGTAAATATGTTTTTCTATCTATCTATCTATCTATCTATCTATCTATCTATCTATCTATCT